TAAACTTCGTACACAACAATTTTTCTAAGAAAGAATAAAATTAGAAATTTTCAAAATCGCAATTTCTACAGAATTTCATTCAACATAACAGGAAATTTCACCTGAGAATAAATAAAAGAGGACCCGTTTTGCTCCAGTGGGTCTCGATATCCAGCAAAAAAAAATCCTCGCCTTCGAAAAGGAATTTTTGCAACTGATTTATTAATGCAAAATCAATAATTAAAATAATTTTCCAATGAAATAGTAAAAAAATTTCAATTCCATCAATTTCTTGAATTGAAAAATCATCTGAAGCTGCAGAAATCTGCGAAAAATATTCATAAAATTTGTAAACAACAGCCTGATATCATGAAGGTATCAGGCACATGGGAAATACTAATCGAAACCGATCTAGCAAGCATGCACTGTGGTATTTACGTTAATAATTTTATCACGCACACAGAAGTGACCACGAATTACCATTTTACCGTGCGGGATAATTGTGGCAAACTCCCTCTCACTCTCTCACTCTCTCTCTTACCCCGGTCTCTTAAATATATTGCAATGAGCACTTGCGAGAGGTTGGACACGTAAGTCGCAAAGCTTACACTGGTATTCATGTCGCACATTGCCGAGTGCTCCTTTTTTTTCCCTTATGCAACCCTGTACTCCTGGTAATGCATATTACAAGCACTGGGAACGTCGATATAGCGTTTATTACACTGGCTATACACATGAGTTTTTAATTTGCGTGTCACCTGATGACCTATACCCGTTCATGAGATTTTCTATGATTTTTTTTTTCAACGTTCCTGTTGCACGGGGAGAGTTGTTACTAGTTATTACAGATGGTTGATCATGAGAGTGGAATGCGGTGGGATAATTAACTAGTTGAATTTTGAGTCGTTTTTTTGTCACCAGTTTTTGCTAATGACTGCAAAGGACTTAATAATGAGGTTTGTTTTGGTTTCACCAATGTCATCCAACACCAACATATATTTGAATTTTTATAGTAGCTAGAAAATCATCATTTGAACAATTGGTATTGGTAGGGAATACTTTTAGGATGATCTTCCGAAAGCTATCTCAAAAAGTCTCATTTTATTGATGTGAATGATCAAGTCCGTCATTGGACGTTGAACTCTCCGGGATACTGAACCTTTAGTGGGCCCGGAACAACCTGAAAAGCTCCATTGAAACAATTGATGTTGGCAGGGAACACATTTAGGACGATAAAAGTCTTTGACTTGATAAAAGTCTTTGACTTTATTGATGCTGATCATCAACTCCGTCATTTGACATCGAACTCTCTGGGATACTGAACCTTCGTTGGGTCCAAAACAACAGAAAAGCTCTATTAGAACAATTGGTATTGTCAGGGAACACTTTTAGGACGAGCTTCCGAAAGCTGTATCCTCGCCAAAAAGAAAAGATCAAAATCATTGACTTTATTGATTCGGATGATCAAGTTAGTCATTTGACATCGAACTCTTTGAGATACTGAACCTTTATTGGATCCAAAACAACCTGAAAAGCTCTATTAGAACAATTTGTGTTGGCAGGGAACACTTTTAGGACAATTCCCTGAAGGCTGCATGCTCGCCAAAATAATTGATAAAAGTCTTTGACTTCATTGATGCGGATGATCAAGTCCGTCATTGGACATTGAACTCTCCGAAATACTGAACCTTTAGTGGGCCCAAAACAACCTGAAAAGCTCTATTATAATAATTGGTATTGGCACGGAACACTTTTAGGACGATCTTCCGAAGGCGCTTACTCGCCAAAAAAGTTGGTAAAACTCTTCGACTTTATCGATGTAAACGATCATCTCCGTCATTTGCCATCGAACTCGACGGGATAGTGAACCTTTATTGGACCCAAAACAACCTGAAAAGCTCCATTAGAACAATTGGCATCGACCAGGAAAACTTTTAGGATGATCTTCCTAAGGTTACATACTCGCCAGAAAAATTGGTAAAACTCTTCGACTTTATCGATGTAAATGCTCATCTCCGTCATTCGCCAACGAACTCAACGGGATAGTGAACCTTTATTGGACCCAAAACAACCTGAAAAGCTCCATTAGAATAATTGGTATCGATCAGGGAAACTTTTAGGACGATCTTCCTAAGGCTATGTACTCGCCAGAAAAATTGGTAAAACTCTTCGACTTTATGGATGTAAATGATTATCTCCGTCATTTGCCATCGAACTCAACGGGATAGTGAACCTTTATTGGACCCAAAACAACCTGAAAAGCTCCATTAGAACAATTGGCATCGACCAGGAAAACTTTTAGGATGATCTTCCTAAGGTTACATACTCGCCAGAAAAATTGGTAAAACTCTTCGACTTTATCGATGTAAATGCTCATCTCCGTCATTCGCCAACGAACTCAACGGGATAGTGAACCTTTATTGGACCCAAAACAACCTGAAAAGCTCCATTAGAACAATTGGCATCGACCAGGAAAACTTTTAGGATGATCTTCCTAAGGTTATATACTCGCCAAAAAAATTGGTAAAACTCTTCGACTTTATCGATGTAAATGATCATCTCCGTCATTTGCCATCGAACTCTCCGGGATACTGAACCTTTATTGGGCCCAAAAGAACCAGAAAATCCCTATAAATTCATTGACCAGGAAATGAATTGAAAAAAGTCTTTATTGATCTCGGCTTTATCGACACGGATGATCAGGTTCGTCACAACACCTCGAACTCTCCGGGATACTGAACCTTTAATGGACGAAAAGCAACCAGAAAAGCACCATTAGACCAGCCAGTCTCCAGGGCTTCAGTCCTGTCAACCATAACATCTCAAGTCAGCCAATCCTCCGAATAATTCATCAATTCCTCTCCACTCCGAATCACCTAGGGCAATAAAATTCATCTTCCTTGACTTGTAAATGGAGGGTGCGATTATCGTGAGGCGAAAGGTCGTGCAACAAGTTGCCTTGAAATCGAAGGTATGAGCCCGAAGAGAGTCGAATGGGTAGTAGGAAAGGGCGCGATGGATAGAAAGGGGTGGTGTAGGTCGGACGGGCCGAGTCGGCTCACGAGACCGTTCATCATACTGTGTACAATGTTACGATAGTTGCCTATGGTGCGATTACTCCTCGGTATAACTTGGAAACTTATCACGAACACGAATAGTTTAACCGAAAAAGGCATACTCGAAGGGGATATCCAAATTTACATCTGCCAAATCAGTAAAACAGTTCAAGTTGTTTTTTACTATTGATCAGTTTTCAACGAATATCTCGGAATCTAAGGCAGATAGCAGATTTTTTATCATAACCTTTTTTGTAGAGCGAATTGGGAGCTACAAAAAAGGTTATTAGAAAAATTTCGCTATCTCTCTTAGTTTAGGAGATATTCCTCGAAAACTGAAACGCATTCAGTGTAAAATTTTTTGTCAACCTTTTCATTTCGATTGAACGAATCGGGATGAATTAATGACATTGGAATAGAATAAAATTCATTTTCAATAACTATTGAATGTACTCCACACATCGGCAATACCCTCATTCGGTCGTCTGCGTTGTTCCGTTCTCCATTCAAAGGGTTCAAAGGTGATGGATATGAAATGCCTCAATTAACTAGCGTTGGTATTTCATAAAAGCATTCCATTCCGCGTGGTGAAACTTTCTGGACGTTTATGCCGTTACTCAACATTGCTACTGTAATTACATATCATCGAATGACTGCGTGCCTTGTAGCATCCCCTTGTACAGACAATCCGGGGTTAATTCATCAAAGTACATGGCGACAATTTAATGTAAGGTTTAATTAAGATGCGGACTTAGGCCCTTTTTGCCCCCTTCCCCGTGGGCGATTGTTTTTTTTTCACTTTTCTTTTGATTTTATTACAAAAAATCGTAATTATTGCAAGACTTTCGTTACTTTTTATTGAATCCAAAAATTTATGTAAAAATATCGTTTAAAAAAATGTTGGACACCTGATTTCGATTGATTTTTAGGGAATAATTGCACTGAATTCAGTTTCCATTGATTTTTTCATTGAAATGAGAATTTTTAATGACAAAAATCCTTGGAATTTCAGTCGATAAAATTTTTTAACAGTCCAATTGAGAAATTGGAAGCTGTAGACTTGAATCTTAATAGTCATGCAAGACGATACTATTACTTTCAAAATATAGTGTGTTTCTGTAATTTATTTTCTAATGCACTTTCGTAAATTCAGTTGTCAAAATATTTTTGCTATTAAATTTTATCATTCGTTCATTCGAAAAAACATGGAATTTCAAATTTATAGCAATTATATATTTTTATAATAAAGAAAAAATGAAAAAATGAATATAAAAAAAAATAAAAAAGACGATATTATTACTTTTAAAGTGTAGCGTCTTTCGATATTTTAATTAATTAATTTTTTAATTGTTAAATATAATTTTTTAAAAACACAAAAAAAAATTTCTCATTATAAGCCATCGCCTGAGGGCTTTCGACCATCTATATTTTATTTTCCAATACAATTTCATAAATTCAATTATTATAATAATTTCGCTATTCAATTTTACCATCCGTTCATTCGAAAAAACATAGAATTTCAAATTAACAAAAAACTCAACAAATGAAGAAAAAAAATGGTCAAATAAACAAAAAAATAAATTGAAAAATATCGCTATGAAAAAAAAGTCGGATTCGCAGGATGCTATCTTACAAGTCACCGAAAACCACATCATTAGACACTGTGTATCCAATGCTTTTGCATTTCGCGCTGCGGTTTCCTTTGAGGGTTGAAACTGAAAGACGATATCCCAGTGGCTGTCCGATGTTCAACTAGCCGGAAATACAAAATGGTCAGTCAGTTGAGAAGAAGGTAGCCCTCCCCTCTCCCCCTTCTCGCTACTATATGTCGAAGCGGTAGATCGTGAAATGTCTCCTTCGGAAAGTATATGTTCATTTTGATATGTTTCCTCCTCGAGATGTTCTCAAAGGAAAATGGAAACTCGATAACAATGTTTTTAAGGCTATGCTTGGGGTATTATTCACGCTTTTAACAAAATTATTATTATTATTATTATTATTATTATTATTATTATTATTATTACTATTATTACTATTATTACTGACGAATGGATGCTTCGCGCCCGCTCCTAGATTCATTTCAGTAGCGAAGCGGTAAAACGGTTTAAGTTAATTTTGACTATTGACCAGTTTTCAATGAATATCTCGAAATCTAAGGGAGACCGCAAAAGTTTTGTTATAATCTTTTTTGTAGAGCCGATTGAGAGCTACAACAAATGTAATTACGAAAATTTCGCTATCTCCCTTAGATTCGAAAATATTCGTCAGAAACTCAACTTGAAGATAAGTTGACTTAAACCGTTTTACCACTTCGCTACTGATTTATATTATTTTATTTCAGTTTATGTTTTTCCATTTTTATCTTCACAATTAGATTAATTTAATTTTATCCATTCTTATTCTTATTACATATATATATTTTTTTTCATTAATTCACAAGTTACAACATTGAATGAAGAGGAATTACGTTAAAGATCAATAAAAAGTGTTTTTTTTTGTGTATATTGATCAATATATTTTTCAATGTCTCCGGAAAGTATTAAAATGAATATATTTTTTCGAACGATGAAAGAATACTCATCAATTCGATTTCTATTCTTGTCTTTCGATAGAATGAATATAATAAATGACAAAAATTTAGAATTGGGGAGTAAAAATTTTATGCGATTATCATTATGTAATAATAATAATAATTATTATTATTACATAATGATAATCGCATAATAATAATTATTATTATTATTGCTATAAACAAATAAATTGTTAATAATTAATTATCAATATTATTATTATTATTATTATTATTATTATTATCATTTGATGCATTCACATTCGTTGTAAGATTACCCCCAAGATATTTATGACTCTCTCTCTCTCTCTCTCTCTCTCTCTCTCTTTCTTTCTCTCTTTCTCTGTCGATAATCCCCATAAAGGAGAGATTCGTAATATCAAAGAACTTGGGGAATTAGATGCCACGGACGTACCCGAGGACAGCGAGTATAAGATATTTTTTCCCGGTCTTATCCTCACCGTTGAATACCCCCCCCCCCCTTCCATTCGGTTGCGAATTGAAATACATTTTTTCTAATTCCCTGGTTCATTTTATCAGTTCAAGTCCCAGATGGGAATTCACGGTGGTAATTACGGTTTTGCTACTGGTGATGTTGAGGTGTGGGTGTGAATGCTCCGGGGGAGATGTAATTTTGATGGTGGGGCTTTGCCGGGGGATGGTATTTTTCTATCAGGCTGGGGGGAGGACATTCCGGAGGTGATGCATGGTCATCGGACAGCGGCGGTGGTGATGGGAGGATGTTGAGGGGTATATTGTTTTGAGAATTTTTCGCGATTTCGGACAAGCGATTTTTGATTGTTGATTGGTTGAGACCGGGAGACGGAAATTTCATGCAATTCAATTTCTTTTTCGAATGTAGGTATTGTTGAGCCCTGTCAATCGTTATTAATTAAAATTTAGGTCATCGGTTAGTTTTTTTAATTTTCGATTTTTTTCGGAAATCGGTTGTCCCACGATAACTAGAAAATGTTCTGAATTGATTCAATGATGGCTTTAAAAGTTTGTTTGGATGTCCTTTGGGCGAGTTGGAAGATGAAGGCGATAGCAATAATCGTTATTTTGATTTATTTGAAAATTTGCAAAAATTTTGTATTTTTTGAAAATCAGAATTCCGGGGATATCTTTGAATATTATGCTTCAAATGAATTCAATCGTAGCTTAAAATGTTTGTTTTAATGCCAATAAGTCGAAGTTAAAAGATGATTACGATAGCTATATTGGTTGATTTGATTTTTATGATGATTGTTGAAAATTTCGAATTTTTCATGAATTTCCCTGAAAGTGAGCTTTCTGATGGTTTCTTTAAATGTGATTTTTCAAATTCATTCAACTATGTGTAAATAAATTTTTTCTATTAACATTTTATCGAAGGGCTGAGGGGAGAGATAGAACTGTAAAAAAGACAATCGGTTGTATAGACGAAAGAGATAATAAGAATAATTGTGATATGATAACATTCAACTAAGTTGAAAATCTGACACAATTAGTTGAAAAGAAATCTTATTCAATTTAATAAAATGAAATAAACAATGAATTATACATGGTAGAAGGAAATTATGTGCAAAATGACCATTCGGAAGCATCTTGTTAATTTATTAGCAAAAATAACTAACAATTTTCCATTTGTTTTTTATTTTCGAGGGTTTTTTGGGGCTTTAAAATGGGAGATAAAGACACTAAGTTCTTTGGAGATCATTATTTTACATGAACATGTGTTACAGTAGTTCCACGTGGAGATGACCCTTGCAATACCATCAAATTACAATCACGCATTATTATTTATCAGATAACTCTCTTCAAATACTACGGAAAGCATTGACCACACGTGTGTCAGACGTGTTCACCCCGGGGCTTTCACGGTTATTATCCCCCAAGATGTTTGTTGTGAGTGGCGGACATTCATGGGATACTTTGGTCAGCGGCTCTATCTACTCAATGGAATAAAGAACTCTGAACTGTTTGCTAAACGATAAAACCCGTATTTGTTCATCTCTCGAGGACCAAACTCTTCTTGAAACGCATTTTCTAATGTAGTTTCATAAATATATTTTTGTTTTGTGGGTTGGCAATTTAATGCTGGATTTTTTATTCAATTTTATGATTTGTTAGTTGAAAAAAATTGTGAAGTTTCATGTTTTCCGAGAATTCGATGGAATTTCAACTCTTTGAGCTGCAGAAAGACGAAAACTTCTCCATTTTATTAATTTTTTAACGAAAATAAAATAATTATCTAGTTACAAATTACAAAATAAATAAATTACTTGAATATTCGAGAATATATTTACCTGAATTTTCATAATTTCTACTCTGAATTGAGATAATTTTCATGGAGTCATGGAGTCATGGCACTAATATTTGCAGTTTTCATTGATTTTTCATCAAATAGTGAATTTTTAATGACAAAATTCCTTGGAATTTTACTTGATAAATTTTTCTTTAAATGCGATTGATAAACTAGAATTTAAAAAGTCACAAGTTTAAATTATTGAACGACGAAAATTTGAAAATATAGCGTTGTTTTATCTTTTTATTTATATATATATCGTAAATTCAGTTATCTATTTCTTCATTCAATTCTACTATTCGTTGATTATAAAACAGCAGAGCTCTGATTTTTTAAATACAAAATTTCTTTGAATTTCACTTAATAAAATTTCGTAAATATACAATTCAGTAACAAAGCAAAAGGAGATGAGTCAATTTTGACTATTGACCAGTTTTCAATCAATATCTCGGAATTTAAGAGAGATAACGAAATTTTCGTAATTACATTTGTTGTAGTACTCAATCGGCTCCACAAAAAAGGTTATAGCAAAATTTTCGCGATCTCCCTTAGATTCCAAGATATTGATTGAAAACTAGTCAATAGTCAAAATTGATCTCCTTTTACCACTTCGCTACTGAATTGATAAATTGAAAATTATTGAATACCACTCGAATAATCACGTCAATGAGCAATGCGGCATGATAATAACTGCCGCCTGCGCAAACAGAGGAATCTCCCCTTAAAAATCTGCAGGCGACCAAAATAACGAGTGCTCTGGGGTCAAAAAAATAACGTGATTCCCACCGATTTACTTTGACATTACCAAAAATCAACCGCAGCCATCAAATAACATTCATCTCAGCCCGATTACAGGAATTTAATACACAAAGTGATTTCCACATCCCCAGATACATCCCCAGAAAAATCACGTTCGAGAATATCTATATTCTCCGGACACTTTTACGCGAAAATAAGAGACTCCGCACTCGACTAAAATTCCATTTTCCTGGAGAATAGCAAAGCGAAGATGACAAAGTCCTTCGTGGGGGGGAGAAAAATTGAAAAATTGCTTCTTTTAGTGGCGCTCAGGATAGTGCCGTTCCCGTGGGAATCGAGGATACAAAACCCTATAGAAAAATAAGTAGATTCTCGAGATCTTTGTGGAGACGAAGTCGATGCTTCGACAATCGGACTTTGGAGTATTGCCCTTTGGCCATTCCCATTGTCAATGCAAAAGTATTTTTCATTTTTCATCATTTTTATTTTGTAATAATTAATAATAATAACTGTCATTTCATTTATGAATAGTTTTTTAATATTCTTAATAATAATATTCAAATTATTATTAATAATATTAATAATAGTAACTAATAATAATAATTTCCACTGAGATTTCAAGGAATTTCGTCATTAAAAATTAGTAATTTTAAGGAAAAGTCGCTGGGAACTAAATTTCATTTTGATTATTCCGGGAAAATTAATGAAAATTTAGAGAAATCTCTCCTGGAATTCCGAGAATTTTAAATGAATTTCCTGAAAATTTCTGATAACTTGGCCGTGAATATTCATTTTCATTTGAAAATTAATGTAATTTGTGAAATTTACTTATTGTTGCCACTAGAAAATTAGGATTTTTTGAAATTTTCAATGAAACTTGAAATTCCGTTGACTTTTCCCCCTAAGGATATCCAAGGATTTTTACACTTTGCTACAGACCACACTATAGAGTCCACCATTTTCAATCATCAAATATGTCAATTAAATTGCGTGAGAAAATTTTGAAAAAATCATGAATAGCCAGCGTCATTCAAATTAAATTTGGCACAGAAATATTATTCTTTTAAACATTCCTTTTCTCTCCATTATAAAAATCTAAATCGATTTCTGGTGATAAAAATTTGGTACTCGAACTTAAGACTGCAAAATTAAGGGTCATGAGGGCCATGAGGGTAGGGATAAGGGTCATGAGGGTCAGAATAAGAATCATGAGAGTCAGAATAAGGGTCGCAAGCTTCAGATTAAGGGTCACGAGGGTCAGATTGAGGGTCTCAAGGGTCCAAATAAGGGTCGCAAGGTTAAGGGTCAGATTAATGACCTAAATAAGGGCAACAAGGGTCACAGTAAGGGTCCTAATGAGGGGCATGGGGTTCAAAAATCAAGGCTCAGAAACTAAGCGTCACCAGGATCATAATAAGGGTCACGAGGGTTATAATGAGGGTCAGATTAAAGATCCAAATGAGGGTCACAAGGGTCAGATGAAAGTCTCAATATTTCTTTATATGGTAAAAATCTAAATCGACTTTTACTGATGAAAATTTGGTGCTCGATATTAAGACACCAAAATTAAGGGTCAAAAAATTGTCACGAGGGTCAAATTAATTAATTAATGTTCTCGAAAGGTTCAACATCGAGATTCAAATACTCTCCTCCAAAGTTTAAATAATGAAATCATTGCAAATGTCCAAAAACTTGCGGTCAAACTGAGAAAAGCATTTCGCTGAAAAAAAATAACCAAAGCACCTAAATATCCTCAAATCGAATAACTCAGCGAATTTTTTTTTTACAGTTTAATGATGAGATGATTTTAAAAATTATACAGATCTCGTTTCAACTTTTAACGAAAAATTTCTCCGTGTGAATGCCACACGTGTTTCATATACAATTACACGAGAAAAATTATTGCACAGAAATTCAGTCCTGCAGGATCATGTCATCACAATGGTACTGCTAGTGAGATTACCCTGAAATCCTTCTTTTGTGGTTCTCAATACACGTGGAAGTAATATCAATCCGTGATGGTATTATCCCCTGACAATAACCTCACAATCATTCTGTAACGTCTTCATATTAGGTTTCTTCTCAGAGGGAAGAAGGAGAAATTTCTATGGGTCAGGAATTGATTACTCCTGGGGTGCGGGTGAAATGATAGCTGTTGAGTTCATTTTAAAACACATTTATTCAGTAGTATATACAGATGTACAGTACATGCGATATCGGGGGGAATTATTTAATACGAAATTAAGAAACTTAATGCGGATATTGCCGATTAGCGTAAATTAAGTATTGTACATTTATTTACAGCTGTTTTTTTTTACAGATTTCCAGAGGTATGCGGGCAGAATAAGGTAAATCAATATTGTACATTGATAAGTATCGCTATAAGCTCGCAGACTTATTTTCTAGGACTTATTTATTGAATTTAGTGCACGAAGAAAAATTTCTGTTGAAATTATTCTGTTTTTTTTTAAATTTTCGGGAAAAAATACATAATTCTGGTAAAAATCGCAATATTTTCATCTAGATTACTGGATTATCACCAGACTTGCGCATTATTTATTGCGGTCTTGGTGATTTTTTACTGAAATTTTTCTTCGTGTGATTTTTATTCTGAAAGCTATCGACTCGCACTCGCTTGAACATGATTTATTTGCGCGCTACAGCCCCTTTAGTGTAATTATAATCTTATCTATCAGCTACTTTACACGTTCTTTAACATTGCATTGATCCCCTCGTACTCACCATTAATTAATTAACATGGATAATTGATTAACGAAATGATGACACGTCCCAAGTCAAGTCGATTTTTTCCTTTTAGTGAATATTCAATTATCTCGAGAACGAGTGGTCCTACAGAAAAAACGCATAATAACATTTTTGTAGGGAATTTTAAGAGCTACAAGAAAGGTTATACGGTATTTTCCTGTAAAACCACTCGTTTCCGAGATAATTTTACAAATAGGAAAAATGAAAAAAATTAATCTGGACTTGATCATTTCTCTAGTGAATTATTCAATTACACATCGACTAGATTTCACAAATTTGAACATTTTGTTATAGTTTTTCTCTAGATGATATATTTATTTATTGACTAGGAAACAGACTAGATTCATCATTTGGGCTGAATTAATTAATTAATTAGATGTGGATTTTTCCGGCGTTGAACACACTTATGTTGATATTATCAATAGACATACATTATCGTCTTAAGATATGATATTCTATGTTTAAATAACGTGATCCATCGATTGCGTTGGACTTTTAATCTACGTTCTTTGGACTAGACAATACTCTTTCATTCGACGCGAGTGGAATGAAAAAAAAAATGGGGAAATCATAAAAAAATGAAACTGAAAGTTCACACGTTTAGTTTAGTACAAAATATATATTTTCGGTGGATGAATCGAGAATTTTTAAGAAACTCTGCGGCTTATTTTCCACAGTTTTCAATTTTTTAGCCTAAGAATCTTTGATGTTTCAGCTGTATGTCGGGAATTTTGCGTTCCACGTTTGAGAAGTTCTGATTAAATATGAAAATATAAGATAGGATTATAGTAATCGTAAAGTGACACTTTGAGATCGAAATTCTAATGATATGCATTTATAATAATTAAAATTATACGACTAGGGACAGGACTAGTTTTTAAATACTCAATTTTGAAAAATAAATATATTTAATTTGTAAATCTCGTCAAACGAATCATCGAGATCATTCACTTCTTCATTTTTTGGCATCCGATTTCTTACGACTAGAGAAACTACTTCTTCTTTATGATTTTTTTTATCATCAAATTTAAATGAACGTCCTGCGCGTAATAATTTCAATCGTCTTTAATTTTGTAGTTTACGTGGGGCACATTTGATATTCAATATCTCAGGATTGGTGGAGTGAATTCCAATAAATTTTCCGTCGTTTTTGGTTTATTTCATGAGTTTAGAAAGGAGTTCAAATTTATTGGAATTGATAATTTTGTTCGTGAGATATTTAACATTTAGAGGAATTTATTTTGTCCCATTTTGAAGGACTATCACTATTTATGATTAGAAATTTACAATTCTAATGACTAGATACTTTCAATAATTAGAGCTGGGTGAAATAGTATTCAGGGATTTTTAACTGGGAGAGTTTCATTCAAAATAATTTGTTTTCAATTGATGAAATATTGGAAATTAAATATTCTTAAAAATTATTGATGAGAATTTAAAGTAATAAAATTGTATTTTAATTTGATTCGAATAAAATGGAAAATATTGAATGGGAAAAATACAGTTTAATTTAAATTAAATAATCGACAGAAATTCAAAAAGATAATTCAGAATTGCGTTTCCATTAGATTTCAATAAAACGGAAAATATTGATTAACAAAAATCTATTTGAAATGATTCATTCTATCAATCTACGAATTATTCCAAAATAGATTTCAACACTTCAAACCAGGAAAATACTATTTTAAATCGTATAGTGAATTCCAATAATTTTTCCGTAATTTTCATAATTATTTTATAAGTTTAGAAATGAGTTTACATTCATTGGAATTGATGATTTGCTCATGAGTCATTTAACATTCAGAGAAATTTATTTTGTCCCATTCTGAAGGACTATCACCATTTACGACTAGAATTTACAATTCTAATGACTAGATACTTTCAATAATTAGAGCTGGGCGAAATATTATTCAAGAATGGTCAGCCAGAAGAATTTTATCCGAAATAATTTGCATCTTCAATTTGTAAAACATTCAAAATAGTTGACAAGAAGAAAAAAAATTGCATTTCCCTTCGACTTCAATAAACCGGAAAGTATTGAATAAAAAAAACCTACTTGAACTCATCCCTCACCCCAACGTTAATTCAACCGCATCGATGCATCAAATACTCTTTTAAACGATAAAAAAACCTGCCTAGATATTTTTATTGATTAGAGCTGGGCGAAATATTATTTAAGAATATTCGACCAGAAGAATTTTATCCGAAATAATTTACATCTTCAATTTATAAAATACTCACGGAAAGAGAATATACTTGATTCAAGTATATTATTCTTGATTCGAGAATAAAATATACTTGAGTCAAAGCAAATTTGACTCAACTGTTTAATTCAAATTTTAACAATTTGGTGCAGTTTTTTAAATTTGGAGTGTTCCAAATGAAATATCATTAAAAATAGTTGACAAGAATAGAAAAAAAATTGCATTTCCCATCGACATGACTAAACCGGAAACCATTGACTCAAAAAACCCCCCTCAAACTCATCCCTCCCCCCACCGTTCCCTCAACCGCATCGATGCAGCAAATACTCTCTCAAAAACCAGAAAAACCTGCCTCAAAAAAAAAATCCCTCCCATAACTCCGACCGAACCAGACCCCCCCAAAATGCAAATCAACGTCCCCCAGCTCCCCAAAGCATTTTGATTGTGCACTCACAAACATCGAAAGCCGAAGAATCCCCGCGCCCTTACATGAGATCGAGTCCGAATCTCCAGTAGATCCCGGGTCTCCGGGGCATTGGTCTCGCCGGGAATTGGTGTCAGGCGACATCGCCAGTGGCGTTAGTGGTTGCAAGCGGCCCTCCCGTCTTCCCCGGCGAGCTTCCCTCCAGGCCCTCCGGCTCACCGCCCTCCGGATGCTGCGTCACCAGGTGCTTCCTCAAGGCCGCCTGCCTGGAGAATTTCGCCTCGCACTTGCCGCAGGGTATCTCCCCGGCGCCTGCCTGCCCGCCCTCCCCCGTTGGTATTCTCGGCTTGTGCCAGCGCCGATGTGACGCCAAATTCGCGGGACACGAGAACCGCTTGTCGCACTCTGGACACCTGTACTCAACATGAGCGATCCTGGAGCACCTGTGCTGCGCCAACTGGAAGGCGTCGTCGTGCAGATGCCGGCACAATTTGCACTGATAAGGGCCCAGTCGATTCTCGATCTTGGCGAGTTCGGCGCGTGCCTCCTCGGTCACCTCGACGATATTAAAAGCCGGATCAATGTCACCAGTGACGACGGCCTCGTCGGGGCCGAGGATGACAGTCCCGGAGACTGGACTGCTCGTGTCCTCGTCGAATTTCAATCGCCGCGCGTGTTTCTTCTTCGGTCGCTGACTCGTTTTGTCGAATCCCGCGGACTTTGGTGTCGTGACAATTGGCGTTGCAGATGAGGGCGTGTCCTCGTCGTCACGTGGTCGACGTCGGGGGCATTGCGGTGGTGACGGTGTGCTCGGCGGTGTCATTGGCGCGTGCAGCTGGAGGTGATGCTGCGGGGTGAGCAGCAGCTGCGGCTGGTAATCCTGGAGGGACCGCAGGTGCGGCGACGTCACCACCTTCTGGGGGGTTGCGGGGCTCGTCGACGGGGTGCGGTACTCCTGGGGGAGCTCTGGGTACAGCACCGGGGATTTCGGCTCGAGGTGCTTGTCATCCTGGTGATGCGGCTCGTCGCAGGGGAAGGGACGCGGCGAGCCGAAGGCCCAGGGGCTGCGGTAGCTCTTGTCCGCGTAGTCCTCCACGTCGTCCACCTCGATTGTCTCGGATTCCTCGTTTGTCTGGGGGGTTGTCGGCGCGGAGGGCTTCAGCGAGAGGTCCAGGGGACTCGGACTCGCGGAGCGCGGCAACTCCTGGGGGAGCGGGTACGGCGGCTCCAGGGGGACGAATCTCGTCACCGATGTGTAGGGATGCACCGAGTCCCCGTAGTAGCCGCCGAGGTAGCACAGACTCGGCGGCGGCAGAAATGCCCTCGGTAGCGTGCTGTGCAGCATCTCCGCAGGATGATTTTTTTTTTTATTGAAATATTTTTGAGACTTTTTTTCGGCGTCAGGATCAGCGGACTATTTTCCCATGACTTGTCAACACTCGGGTCCTGCGGCGGCTCCAGCAGCTCTTGACCGTGCAGGAGCCACTGAACGACTGAATGCTCTTGGTGTCAATGGAATTTTATGCCGACGATCTCCCTCTCCGGCGATTGCTCGGCGCCGTTTGCTGGAAGAACCTTGTGGATGGTTAACGTATAGTTTCAGGCTCCGCCTTTGCGCGATACGAGTCGGGGATTTTCATTGGCTCTGCCACCTCCATGCTGCGCTGGGGTTCCAGGCAGATTGCACGAACAATGCCACGATTCCAGGGGGTGATTTTACAGGGGCGGCGGAGACACTCGGCTTGCAGTAGTTACGAGAATGTCTCCTCGATTTTTCCGTGAATTTTTATGAACGCGGGACGATGGAGAGGCTTATTTTGGGGGGAATGTTCGGGCGGATAGTCTGATGAAGGTTGGGGTCTCGTGAATTTTGAATTTGGGTTTTTTCGGGAGCATTCGCGGGGTTTAAACACTTTATTAGTTCGTCACGCAGCGAACATTGAGGGAATGACAGGCTTTTGGTTAAGGATTCGAACTTTTTTAGGTGAAATACAAATTTTTCTGATTTCGAAATTTTCGACAATTCCTATTTTTTTAATGGAATATGATGATTTTCATTTTTAAAAATTGAATTTCAAAAATTCAAAAATTCTCTACTTGTTTGAGATGTCGTAAATTTTGAAATTGATTTTTTAAAATTGATTTTATTGAAGGGTTGGAGAGGTTAAACACTTTATTATTTATTCGGACAATGAAAATTGATGGAAAAACTTTTTTTTGTTATATTAAAACAATTGAAACATTTCCCCATATTTTTATTAATCAATCGAGCATTTTTAGTTACAAAAAGGAATTTTCCAGTTAGAGAAATTTTCTCCAATTCCCTTTCTTTAAAATTAGATAGAATGTATTTTTATTTTTCAAAAATTCGTTTTCAATCATTTTTTGTCAACGAAAATTGAAAATTTTCCAAGAGAAAAAATTCGAAAATTTTCTAATTGTTTGGGATCTCGTAATTTTGAAATTGTTTTTTTATTAGGGATTCGGAGAGTTTAAGCGCTTCATTATTATTTCGGGCGGTGAAAATTGACGAAAATGCAGATTTCTCTTCTATTAAAAATATGGAAACATTTCCTCATCCATTTTTATTAATCAATTAAACATTTCATGTTCAAAAAAACTATTTTTTCCAGATTAAATGAAATTTTTCTCAACTTCCATATTTTAAAATGAGATATAATCCATTTCTATTTTTCAAAAATTGAATTCCAATAATTTTTTGTCCATAAAAATTGACAATTTTCCACGCAAACACCTTTTATTGCTAAAAAAACTACAATTTCTTTCTGATAAAGAAATTTTCTACTCTCCCTTTCACCACCCAAACACGCAAATTTTTGTATTAAACTCCGCACAGGGAGTAATCATCCCCGAGTATTATGCATGAGCGTTAACCAATGTCCAACTTCATACCTTATGCATGAAAAAAGGGCATATGGCTTATGAGGGTAGCTACAACAAAAACTTGCATTATTGGAGATAGCTGTTGCGAGGCTTTTGTCTCTGCTCTCGGCGTATTATATTCAAATTGTCATGCTTATCTATTATTACAATGTTCTTCATTCATGCAGGAGACGAAGATTCGTGAATAATTCGCCGGAATAATGGAGTGATGCGTGTTTTTCGTGTTCCAAGTAAAAGTTTTCCTCGGAAATTTGTTCAAATGTCTTCATACCGTCGCTTTCAATTCATTTCTTATCGATGATGAAATGTGATATTTCGTATTTCCTCGTGTGTGCCCGATTGCTCAATCATCCTGGGGAGTTCGTCGATTCCAGTGGTTAATCTGGGTGTCTCTGGGGGCCATCAGAGGCCGAACAATCAACATCTAATTGGACGAGAGGTCCTTGGGATGCTGTCAAGACCCTTGGTACCTTCTAGAGGTCTCGATTTTTCTTCGGGGATAAAAAAAGTTAACATTGAGGTCATTACTGCTGGATAACAACAGCATTAACACAATCACGAAATTTTAAATGAGAGACATTCGATTTTTAATCACTTTCATTTCTAATTCAGGAAATATTGTAAATGAAAGAATATTTAAATGGCTTCATTTATCAGGAAAAATTTATTAATGTTTCGTTATTTGAAACTGAGGGGAGTGAAATAACATAGGAAATGCTACTCCAATTTTCATTTCGATGCGATGAGATAACAAATATGTCATTTCAATCTTAGAAAAAAAAATCAACTCGAAACTATTGGGTATTTTCTATAATACTGCACCGCATTGTTTGTTAATATCGAAAAGTATTCAATATTATAGTACTATTTTAACAACATTCACTAGACAGATTTAACACTTATAAAATTTTAAGCCAAGAAGATTGGGGTTGAGCGAGCGAGGGGGGGCTAAGCCCCCCTGTTGATGGCGAGCGAAGCCGCATAGTTATTCAAATATTATTATAATCTTTGATATTTTTAGATGACTTCTATTGACCCCGATATAACCTTCGTGACCCTTATTTTGGCCCTCGTAAGCCCTGAAATAGGGGTCATAGGAGGGTCATATCGAGGGGGGCTAAGCCCCCCTGTTGATGACGAGCGAAGCCGCATAGTTATTAAAATATTATTATAATCTTTGATATTTTTAGATGACTTCTATTGACCCCGATATAACCCTCGTGACCCTTATTTTGACCCTCGTAAGCCCTGGAATAGGGGTCATAGAAGGGTCATATCGAGGTCATCTTCTATATAATCCACCATGATCATTTGTGAAAAGCCACGTTCGAAGAATTCTCCATCAATTTTTTTTTCTATATGATAGGAACACTTAAACATACCGAAGAAGATAGGGATTGCGCGAGCGAAGCGAGTAGGGGGGGGGGCAAGCCCCCTAGTTATTAAAATATCGTTATAATTTTTAATATTTTTAGTAGATGATCCCCATTTGACCTCGATAAGACCCGCATGTAATCCCCATGTGACTCTCACTTAAACATACCCAAGGAGATTGGGGTTGCGTGAGCGAAGCGAGCGAGGGAGGGGGGGAGGGGCGAAGCCCCCCCATTGTTAACGAACGAAGCCGCCTAGTTACTAAAATATTATAATTTTTGATATTTTCAGATGACCCTCATATGACCCTCACAGAACCCACATATCACCCTCACCCCCCTTACTTTTACCCTCGCGAGCCCTGAAAATTTTTGCGTTGTCTTAATTTACAAAATGATTAGATGGAGAGAATCATATGATTCTCTCCATATTTTCAATATTACTCTCACTATTTATCTCTCAATATTTTCATATTTAATCCTCTTGTGACTGTCATATGACAGTCACAAGAGGATTAAATAGGAGTCATATGAGGGTCACATCGGGGTCATCTTCTATATAATCCATCATGATCATTTATGAAAAGCCACATCCGAGGAATTCGCCATCAATTTTTTTTTCTACAACCATACGAACACAAGCATACCCAAGAAGATTGGAATTGCGCGAGCGGGGGGCGACGCCCCCTAGTTATTAAAATATCATTATAATTTTCAATATTTTTAGAAAATCATCCCATTTGACCCGGATTAAACTCGCATATAATCCCCATATGATTCTCTCTTAAACATACCCAAGGAGATTGGGGTTGCGTGAGCGAAGCGAGCGAGGGCAGGGGGGGGGGCAAGCCCCCCGTTGTTAGCGAGCGAAGCGAGCAGGGGGCGAAGCCGCTCAGTTATTGATATATTACTATAATTTTTCATATTTTTAGATGACCCTCACACAACCCGCCTACAACCCTCCCGCCCCTCACTTTAACCCCCGTAACCCCCGAAAATTTTTCATTTTGGAAAATCGTCGCCTTAATTTCCAAAACGATATACAGACATGAAAAATTCACAAGACAATATAATCAATAAAAAAAAACTCCCACCAACCCCAACCTATCAATTTCGAAAAACAAATTTCAATGAAAAAAAAAAAAACATTTTCATATTGGCTAAAGTAATTTGATGACTACAATGTGGATTTGCGGTGGATTGAATGGTTGAGTGCAGAGTGAAATACTGAGTGACGGAAAACCTTACAGTACAGGGGTATAGGTAAGCTCTTGAAGTACAGGATATAACGGACCAAAAGCTATGGCATAGCTCGGGTGGGTGCTTGCATATTTTATGCGATTTTAATGTGTTCCCGACTGATTCTCCACTTGGTTGGGGGCACAGACGATGCTCTACTATCCCGAGGTAACCAGACCAGATATTTTATCCCCCTCTCTACCACCCACTGGGCTCACCTCTCACCAGAACTGAGTGACTGACTGCGCTGTGATGCTGTAATCGGCTTACAGAACAAACCCAGTCTCTGCATCTCTTGGCTCCACCTCTGCGCATTCGGTATAGTTGTGACTTTGAACGGTGGAATCATCATCGATGCCTCATCATCGATGGGGAAGGGGGGGGGCGGAATTGAACGTTAAAATACTTTTGGGGGAATGAAGCGTATGGAAATGATTAATTAAACATACAAATGCCATCACCCGGTCTACGGTTGCTGTTTGTCGATCGAATCCAGGGGAATATGAACCCCCGCCCTAGGCCAGGATGTGCATTATTGTATTGAGTTACATTAAACACACGTATGGCTACATTATGTCGCTACTAGGTATTCTATTTATTAATGGGGTGATGAGACGTTATCATTCCCGGAAATTTAATTGTTGGGGTGAATGCAAATAATTTTTTTATCATTGTTTTCAAAAGGAATATTTTGTTGAATTAAACTCTGAAATATTTGCGGGATAAAAGTTTTTTTTTTTTTGGGGGGGGGGAGGTGAAAATGATGGAATAATCCACTCAGTTATGTATCTATCCTTGGATTCATCATCTACACACTCAAGTCAATCGGAATCTCCGGTTGAAGCTTGAGAAATGTGTTTATTTTCGTGGTATTTCGTGGTAATTCTTTAATGGAATAATCCATTAATCCACTGATCGAAAAAGGAATTAAATTCATAAAAACCCACACAATGTTTTTAAAATAATTTTTAATGCAAATACTTCGTCAAATTCAATATACACCGAGCATTAAAAAATACTATTTACAATGAGAGCCCCAATTTACATATGAACTAGTTAAACAACTGAATTTCCAATTGAATACTTTTCGGTCTAGAATAATTTCTTCGCCGAAAGATTCAAATGTATGACAACATTGAACACACGTGTGGCTACATTATGTCGCTACTAGGTATTCTATTTATTAATGGGGTGATGAGACGTTATCATTTCCGGAAATTTAATTGTTGGGGTGAATGCAAATAATTTTTTTATCATTGTTTTCGAAAGGAATATTTTGTTGAATTAAACTCTGAAATATTTGCGGGATAAAAG